AAATATTTACGCTGAAAGTTCAAAAAATCTGATTTACTCATCTTCTTCAGCGCAGAGTAATCAGTTAAACTCTACATCTGTTGCTTCCAGAAGTAGTCATTCAAATCAACAATCAAGTGTTCAGGTTTCTAGTGAAAAGCGTCATAGCTTTGCCAAAGAAGACACACGTAAATCTTTGCATCAAAACGTAGAAAATTCAAGTAAAAATGCATTGTCTGAACAAAAACGTAACAGTCTTATTAAAGAAATATACCGAAAAGTTTCTGTCGCACCGGCTCTCCATCAAACAAACCAGTTTAACGAAGAAGAACAAGATAACATTCGTGTAAGACTTAACAATGTTGAAGATCAATCAGAAGATGAAGAAGGATGGAGTCTCTCACAAGAGTCTCAACCAGTTGTTTCTGCTGTTTCATATCCAAATATGTTTGAACAACCTCCTCCAAAACCAAAACGTTCTATTGTACCAGCTATTATTGTAGACCATAATTATCAATCAAATAGTCAAATAGTAAGTGAATCAATCAGTGAATCAAGTAACTTATCTAACAACCGATCAATAAGCCAATCAAATAAACAATCAAATTACCAAATAAATAACCATTCATTAATCCAATCAGATAACCGATTAACTAGCCAATCAAGTAACCAATCAGTAGCTCAATTCAATAAACAATCAAATTACCAAATAAATAACCATTCATTAATCCAATCAGATAACCGATTAACTAGCCAATCAAGTAATCAATCAGTAGCTCAATTCAATAAACAATCAAATTACCAAATAAATAACCACTCAATAAGCCATTCAGATAACCGATCAACTAGCCAATCAAGTAATCAATCAATAACTCAATCAATTAATCAATCTACTAGTGAATCAAGTAATCAATCAATAATTCAATCAAATAATCGATCAACTAGCCAATCAAGTAATCAATCAACAACTCAATCAAATAATCGATCAACTAGCCAATCAAGTAATCAATCAATAATCCAGTCAAATAACCGTTCAACTGGCCAATCAAGTAGTCAATCAGTTAGCCAATCAAATAATCAACTAATAAGTCAATCAAATAACTATTTAGTTAATCATGCAAGTAACCAATTAGTAAGTCAATCAGTTAACCAAAGAAGTACTCAATCAAACAAAGAATCAAATAGTCAAATAACTAACCAATCGAATAACCAATCATTGACTCAATTAGGCTACCAGCCAATAAAAAATTTAACTATGCAACCAGGTTTTCAATTACCGAATAATCAAAATCTGCAATCAAACTTTACATCATCTCAAGTAAATAATAATTTATCAAACGTTCGTGGAAGTGCTCAAAGCTCAAAATACTCGAATGAAAAGTATGAGTCATCAAAATATTCAAATGAAAAGTATGAATCATCAAAATACTCTAATGAAAAGTATGAATTATCAAAAAATGAGTATGAAGGAAGCAAAATTTCTTCAGGTTTTCAGCCACTTCAAAAAGTTGAAATGCCTCTGCAAGTGGTATATCAATCCCCTAAAGCGCTTTCGAACTATCAAACAGCTGAGACAGTTCTGGAAAATAAACATCAATCCAATAAAGCAGCTCATCGTGAGCGAGTTGATATTGCTACTGAAAAAACACAAATTTCACGAAGCTCTTTCTCAAACGATCATAATACCGAGTTGGTTTTACAAAAATCACAAAATTTACGACAAGAATCTGTAAACTTTCCAATTAGTAACAACAGTCAGAAAGGACAATATATGCCACAGGGAGATATGCACAGAGTTCTGATATCACCAACCTCCATGTCTTATAAAAATAATGAAGATTATTTTCAAAGTGATGACCAATTTAAAACTTTCCCAAGAAATCAAACAAAAAAACAAAATTATGTTAACACAGATTTGGAATCTTCGACTGATAAAACCAATTTAAAAAAACATCAAAATAGAAAGCTTTCATTGTTTCCTAAAGAAAGAACTGAAGGTATATATATACAAAAATTTTTATCAATATAATTATTACTATGTTATTTTTTTTTTAGGAAAAAACACCTTTAATAAATTCTACTTTTATTCTAGAATTACAATTTGGATAGGAAAGGGAAAGCAATTAAAAAAACTCAAATATATTTTAAAAAAACAAAACTTACTTTAACCAAATATTAGTACTTTGCTAAAGTTGAATAGTGAACAAGAATTATCGTAAACAATAACAAAAACGAAAATGAAAGTATTTTATTAGCCTGTAGAAAAACAGTTTAATATTTTAAGAACAAAAGCTAAATGAAAACGATGATTTTTAATTTTCAAATTGAATAAAAACTGAATCAAAAGTTATTATAGATTATTATTATGAATATTTTTGTTCTATTTTGAAAAAAATTTGAATTAATTTTTTTTTAATTTATAAAAAATTTGTTTATAAAACCTTGTTCTAAAATCTTAACTATTGGTTAGCTTATATAAGAAACTATTGGTTAGCTTTTAAAAGAAACTTATTTTAATGGAGGAGTATTTCCTAAATTTTCATCTACATATCCAGGCATGTAGCAAGCTTTTTTTGTTGGTTGAGATGAACTTTCAGACATGGTACATTTTTATCATCATTAAATTAATAAATTATTTTATAAAGTCGTAACTCTCACGTTAAGGGCAGGGAGAGCAAAAGGTTTAGGACTTTATTTGTTCACAGGCTCTGATCATCTCATTTTTTTGCAAATCTTTTTTTTTGACATAAACATAAACTTATAAATGTTTGGAGTGTAATCAGTGTCTGAAAGTTACCTTTATCTCAAACAACAAAAAAAACTTGCTACCGGCCTGATATCATATAAAGCCTTTATTGCCTTTATTTCATCAAACTCATTCCATACTGTATTATTTATCTTTATGATAAAGAAGTGTCTAAATAATATTAAATTAACTGCGATTGCTAAACTTAATGAAAAAATAGAAGTAAGAGATCAATCGCTCTTTTGCACTACAAATTTCAGACAACAAATCAAGCATATCAAGTAGGAAGCAATTAAAATCTAGATGATGAGTTTAAATAAACTTTGTTCTGGTAGAGAAAAAAAAAAACAATACAGTATGGAAATGGTTTTATTACGATGCATCATTCAACAAATTGGAATGTGCAGCAATATCCAATGGTAAATAAAGTTAATGCAATTCAAAGTTGTGTGGAAAAAGCCAGCAAATTTTAGGATTTTTTTTTTTATCTGTTTGACTAATTGTTTTTATTTCAAAACAAAAGGCTCGTTTATTGTTTAAGAGTAAACGCCAGTGGTGGATTTAGTATGGGGCATGGGGGGAGCAAGCTGTCCCCAAGCCCCCTAGAGCAATCAAACGGCGCCCCCTAAAACATTAAAACAAAATAATCATAAATTCAAATTACAAATGAAAAATAAAATAAAAAAAATAAAAATAAGCACAAATGGAAAAAGAGAGGAAATATTTTAAAACAGAGGTTTTAAAATATTTCCTTTCAAAACATTGATATTAAACTCTGAAAAGAAAATCATTGATATTAAACTCTGAAAAGAGAAACATTGATATTAAAATCTGCAGAGGACATGCATATGATGGTGCTTATGTAATGTTTGGAATTAAAAGTGGTTTTTAACTCAAATAAAAGCGCTTTTCACCAAATGCCATCTATGTTCATTGTTGTGCCCATGTTTTAAATTTGATGACCATTGAACCAATGTCTGTAAACAGGGATGTCCAGATGTTTTTAAGCACATTTGTATACGTACCAAGACTTCATATTCTCCAAGAGCACCAGAAATGTCTTTCATATGTAGATTGCATTTATTATTCCTTTAGTGAAAAATTATGAAAAAGGGTAGCGCACCCACAAGCATCTTTTGATGACGTCACTATTCAATATAAAACTTTAAACAAATGGCGTAATATAATTGTATTGCGCTAAATGTAGGCGATGTTTTATACCTTAAATGTTAACATCTTATTGCTAATTAAAGCTAAATATAGTTTTAACAATCTAACTTTAACCATTAGGCTTACACTTTTAAAATTTCATATTAAAAGTAGAGTTTCTAGTAGTTTGGCTTTATATGTTTCGATTTTTCTCATCTGCTTTTGACTAATTGCTTTGTTGTTTTGTTGTAGAAGCTATTCTGACTGAAAAAGATTTCATTTAGTTCATCATAGACATATCTAAACTATCACGTAACCTAGTTAATAAAAGCTCAAATGTTTGGCAGCAGAATATAAAAAGCAAAGTTGTCAGGCATTTAGAAATACCTTTACGAGTTACTGAATTAAATGAACTCTGCAAAATGCCTCTTAACAGGGACATTGATGGGCGTTTTTTGGGATTACATGATAAAATGAAAGAGAAGAAAATAAGAATAGAAACTATTGCAAAGGAACTGAGTTTACTTTGGGATAAATTTAATTTTCCTGTCATATCAATGCAATGTGTCCACCTAAAAATTGCAAATCTAATTGATGCATATGTGAGATACAGAAAGAAAAAGGATAAGAGATTTCTGGAGGAATCTGGAGCAAGCCTCTTTGATATAATTAAAACTGATGGAAATTGGTTGTCCTCTGAAGACAAACAACTTTACCTACAGCAAATTGAATCTCATGGTACAGTCGGATACACAACTGTGAAGCTTGCACCAGTCTCAACATTTCATCCGTCTAAACGCCGAAAAGTTATGCAATCTTCAGTTGAGAAACAAGTCATGGTAACTTCAGATGAATCTGTGCAAGAAACTGATGCTGAAATATCACCTGGTGATGATTTTATACCTGAAGTGGAAACAAAGAGGAAAAAATATCAAAAAACCAAGGCTGCTGCAAATCTGGTTACCAAATATTCTTTATCTACAAGACGATCATCCAGAATCTGTTCTAGTCTAGCTGCTAAATGTTCTGCTAAGTTACCCACACTATCACAAACTGGATTATGGAAAAGAGTGGTCAGAGATGGAATTAGAAAGGCTGCTGAAATAAAACGCATTCTTCAGCAGGAAAATGATTTCTGATTGGATTTTAATAGAAATTAACTGTCATCTAAAGAATATGAAGTTGTTTGCTTGCAAAATCTTTCAAGGAAATTGAATTTAGGTATCATCATATGTGAATCTGATTCGGCTGCAAACATATTTTCTGGATTGAAGAAGCTCTTAGATGACTTCGATACGTGGAAGAGTATTAAAATGATTGTGTGCGATACAACAGCAGTCAACACTGGTAGCAGAAATCGAATAATCACTTGGCTTTATAAAGAATTTGAAAGAAAATGTATTATTAGACCGCAGTACATGGGGTGTCAACACCACATCCTTGACTTGGTTCTTTGACATTTACTTGACTTCTGTGTTCCAACAGTCTCACAGAAACCAGATATAAACTATGAGTTTGTTGATAACATTTGCAGTCCTTCAGACGAAATATACAGGTGATGTCAAAGTACCTGCTTCTGAAAATGCTGGGAGGAATGATTTCAAGTTTCTATTGAACTTTGCGAAGCTTACAAAGTGCACAAGAAATTTTCAAAAATCAAGTGGCGAAAACTTTCTTCACTTCATAATGCAAGATGGAACTCTAGAGCAACATATGCTCTACTAGCTTATTACGAGAAGATATAGATGTTTTGTTTTCAAAACAGTTGGTTGATGTTACAAATGTTATATATATATATATATATATATATATATATATATATATATATATATATATATATATATATATCAGGGCTCGAATTAGGCGTATCACGATTGCTTTTTATACTTTCGAGATAAGTTTATTCTTAAAACATATATTTTCGCGATTGGTTTACTTTTTTAGTTGTTTATTTACTTTTTTTCTAATTTAGCTTTTTTTTTTGGCAATTCTCAAAAAGTAATGTTTTCATAGTAAAGTACGTCACGCAAAGTTTATTTTTTGAATAGAAGCATTTGCTCTTTCGCGCGGAGAATTTTTGTTCAACGTAAAGCACTCTTTAATTTAAATTACTTTAAATCTCTGCGTAGTAGCAAATTAAAAAGACAAAAGTTAAAAATAATTTTTTCTTCATTCTATTTTTTTTAACAAAACAACATTTTTATCTTTTTTTTAAAAAAACGTTGCTCCAAACTAACTTATTAATAATAAATTAAATTATTATTTTATACACAATTTTATATAATTATTTTTACTAATTTAAGTATAATAAAATATATATAAATTCGTTTTTATTAAATAAAATTTCTATTAGTAAAATTGTACTAATAGAAACCAGCAACATTTTTGCTTTCATGTTTTTCACTTTTAACAACCTTGAAACTATTGAAGTTATATTTAGTTAACTTTACTGAATGGATAAAGTATATCACAGTAAATTAACTTAAAACCTAAATCAAAACAACCAGTTAAGTTAAGATAGTAACCTACAGGTACTCAAGTATTAATTTAACAATTATGTTAATTAATTTAATATACTAGCATAAGTTAGCCATAGACATCTTACATCTTGTTAACACATAATATAAGCTTTTAACTAATAATTATTTTAACAAAAATTGTTGAATAGAATATGTAAAACGAGACACCTTTTTTTTATATTTTCATTTTATTTATAGCGACATCTAGAATAAACATTTTCTATAAATACGCAAGTTGTTTTCAGGAATTTTATTTAAAAAGAAATCTATTTGAACAAGAGAACTTTAGCCTTAAAATTCACTTATTCAAATAATTTTGTGATTGAAATTTGAAATTAAAAAAAAAATTAAAAATTTAAAAAAAGTTTCATGAAACAAGGGAGAATGAAGATGAAAGTTTTTTTTTCGTAAATCGTAAATTTTGTTAACGTTTTGAATTATTTATTTTTTCTTGAAAATAATTTTAAAAGTAGAAACATTCTATTGTTAACATCAAAGCAGTGATTGCAAATTGCTAGTTAAAATACAAATTATAACAATTTTAAATTTAATTTAATAAATTATTTACTTCTGTTTGAAAAAT